ACTGTAGCGGATCTGGGTTCCGTTTTCCTCTGTCACATACAGATCCTGTACCACGTCATCCAGTTTACCAATTTCCTCTAGGATTTCTTGTTCCAGCAGTGAGGCCGTGTTGGAGACTGCCAGAATACAAGGGAAATTGACTTCGGTGCTCTTCCTGGAGATGGAGAAGCGGTAAGAGTCGTTGGCGGTGACATGTCCCTGCACAAAGCGCCGCTCAGCCTTGGCTGGGCTCCCTATGGGGGTGTACTGCTCCTCGAGGTTTTCTTCGAAATCCTTGGGCCAGTAAATTGAGCCAGTGCCCAGAGCGGCCGTCAGCAGCATGGGTGCCAGCAGGAAGATCCAGGGGTGTGAGCCCACCTCCCACTCCAGCCTTCCGAAGGCGTGGGAAAGGGGTGCCTCTAAGCAGTCGGTGTGGCAGCGGGGTCTCTCCGACAACTGATTTTCTGACCGGGGAGCCGGCCGACTTCAACGTCCTCGCACTGACAGCGGCTGGGAATGGGATGCCCCACGGGACTGCATGCTCTGTCCCGAAGCCCAGTTCAGCTCCGGTTCCTGCCTCGCCTCCGCCTCGGGCCCGGCCTCTGGTGCCACATTGGAGGGACTAAGGCTCATTTTCAGGAAGGAAAAGCAAAGTTCTCAAACTGGATAGTGGATGAGACTGCAGCTACTGGGGGGAGTAACGGCTTCCTGGAGAAATTCTACCGGAGTCTGTTTGACTTCCGGCGGTTCACGCCCGGAGCCTGGAGGCGTGGTTGGGGATCACGTGTTTTTTTTTTTTTTTAAGATTTTTATTTATTTATTTATTTGTGAGAGAGAGAGAGAGCACAAGCAGGGGGAGCAGTAGAGGGAGAGGGAGAAGCAGGCTCCTCACTGAGCAAGGAGCCCGATGTGGGACTCGATCGCAGGACACTGGGATCATGACCTGAGCCGAAGGCAGATGCTTAACGACTGAGCCACCTAGGCGACCCAGGGATCACGTGTTTTGACCCATAGCCTCACTAGCCCCAAATTTGTCTGGGGCATGCCTGCGCCCTCGGGAGTCTAGTTAACACAAAAACACTTCTTGAAGGTGAGTAAGATGCGTGCCTGTTCTACAAGACTTACATTTTATTGGGGGAATTTGGTTTGTACACACACACACACGTGTCCTAACCTTTCTGGGATCAACCAGTAACACAGTTATTGGCTAAGGTGAACCTGGTACACTTACTTTATTATTTTTATTAACTACAAAGCTAAAATAGACATTCGCCGTGTAAAAGGTTAGAAGTCAATATGTAGAATGAAAAGTGAGGGTTTATCTTTGGTCTGTTCCACAGTTCCCAGGATGGAGGGACCCCTGTGTTCATGTCACCTTTTTTATGAAAGTCCTCACCTACCTTTTAACATG